TAGTGCGCCTGTCGTACGGCATGGGAGGGCTCACGCACGAGATAACGGTGCGGGAGCTGCTCGAGGGTAAACACTTCTCGCCGGCCGTTACCATCGAGTTCATATCAAAGCCGCTCAAGTGGTTCGGCATTCAGATGCCGGACACCCATATGCCGGGCAATAAGTTTGGTCTGCTTAACGCGGTTAAGGAGTCCCGGGAGGGCCCGCACGTGTGCGAGACCGGTGTGGGCGACTCAACCTTTCTCAAATTTGTCACCTTTCAAGGGCGCACGTAAGTGCCTAGTTTATTTAACTTACTTGTGGACCACGTGCCCTTGATAACATTTTAACTTAATGAATTATTGTACGCTATTATACATAATAATCTTATTAAGTTTAAATCTGATATTTTTTAATTCAGCTATTAGTTTATAAATTATAATTTTTTGAGATTATGTACTAAAAATATTAGGTCATTATGTAACTAGGTTGTTTCCGGGTGTAAATTATGAAGCTATTATGTAATTTAATTTTGAAATGCGATCCACAGGTCGTACAACATGTATGACGACCCGAAGTGTACGGTTGTGAACGCCAGCGATGGTCGACAGTTGGGTCCATACAAGTTAACTAAGGATACGGTAATATGGGTGCCCATCGGAGACTTGTGCAGGTATGTCCGCCCGAGTAATCACTTTATTTCTATTTAATAAACTAGCTGTTTGTATGAATTTTTAAAAATATTTCAAAACACTACAAAATCTATTTGTAAATGTAATTCTTAGGGTAGTGTAAAAAATAATAAAATAATAATACATATTCTAGCTAATCCTGCACAATTTTCTAAAAATTTACATTACGTTAGAAAAATATTTAGTTAACAAATAACCTAATACTAAAAATCTTATAATATTATTTACAATACATAACTAAATGTCTAATTAATTGACAGAAACTTTTACATCGCCTATAAGGAGCACTCGAGTGTGTGGGGTATACCCACGTGGCGGTACACCCTCCCCCCGTCCATGTTTGCGTCGCCCAAAAAAAATCCCGCCAACACGTGCTACTGTCAAACACCAGATGACCCGGATATGTGCGACGGTATATACGAAATAGGACCCTGCGTCTACAATCTCGGTATACCCATATCGCTATCGTATCCACATTTCCTGTACGCCAGCGATAAGATACGTACGATGGTTGACGGCATGTACCCCGATGTGGACCTCCACGAGACCCAGATCGATTTTGAGCCGGTACAGTTTTATTTATATGATATGTGTTATGGTCTAGGTGCATTCATTCGTTAAGCAATATTGCATTTATAATTATGGGATTATTATTATTATTATTGCTATATACAGTAAATCGTTGATATAATTTATAAATTTCCCGTATTTGCAAATGTATTTTCAATTTGTTATTATTTTTCCAAACAAACTCTATCAGATTAAATTACTATAGAATAATGCAGTATTAATCTCAAATAACTTAACAATTTTTAAAAATTAAAAAACTAGTTTAAAAATTATATAGCAAGTTAACACAGATACAAATGCACTAACTTAGTCTAATAAATATAACAATAGTATACAATAGAAATATTGATCTCATGGACACAAATACTATTAAATAATATTGTTTTTAACATACATTTCAACGTACAGACAGCGGGTGCGCCACTGAGAGTGAGGGCTGGCGTTCAGGTGAACGTTAAACTCGAGCCGTCGGCATATGTCGTGTAATATAAATATATACATTAAACTCAATTCAATTGCTGTGATAATGAAGTTTTTAAAACTATTTTTATATTTATATTTCACATGAATAGTGGTTTCGGTGATATCCGTGAAGCCGTGTTGCCCTACGTTTGGGTTAAAATTGTAATACATTTAGGATTTTTGCAAAATTATGCTTTTAATTAATTTTAATGTTATATTAATATTTAGGTGGACCCCTTGAATGACCTAGCACGATTGATTGCCAGTGTCGGTATTTGGCCCCTACTGGCCATCGACTATGGATCGGTAGCCTTATTTCTCGGGGGAATCGGAGGTTTAGGCTATACATCGGTCTATGCGTTCAATCGTAGAGACAAAGTAAGTGGCGTTCAATAGTTTTCTTAATACAATGCTTTAAAATAAAATATAACCTGGGTCACACGCAGAATATAAGTTTAAGATTAGTTTAATCTATGAACAAAAATATATTTTAAATTATGGTATATATATGAATAGCGAGGGCATATTTTACAATATGTATATAAAAGTAACATAAAAACTATTTATTAATTACTAACAAATATGTTGTTTTAAACTAGCACAAATATACATATATTTATAATGAAAACAATACTAATTAAACCAATTTTTTACTCGCATTTAATTATACGCCAAATATTAAACTGAAAAACAATTTCCAACTATAGCTGCGATCACCGAAACCACACGAGGAGGCCGTCACTACTACCGGTGCTCTCATGAGTCACACGAATGGCGTGAATAACCAGACAATAGCCACGGATACGAAAGATAGGAATGCCTACGGTTTGGCCGACAATCCGCCCATTTATACGATCAGTCAACGCGATTACATCGAGAGGGTCGGGAGGTCCCACTTTGGCACCCAAACCACACCCCCACCACCACTCAATGGCCAAGGAGTCAATGGGACAAACACCAAGCAAAAATATGCCACATCTCCACCGGGCACTCCAGAATATGCTAGCTAAATTTTTTCATTTTAATTCGACACTGTTCATTGTTAATTAAATTAACCCACGTTAACCAGTCGTTAAATAATTTATATTACTCAAATGTATATGCCATAGATTAGCTAGATGTGATATACATGTACTGTATTACTATAAATGTATCAAGTATCGTTTATGTTTATTTTTTGGTAGTATTATAAGACTTACGCTTGTTAGAGATTTAAAATTACAGTAATTAGTATTTCGTTGATTTAATTTATTTAAATATTATAAATGATACCTTGATTATATGAAGTAATGTTATTATATTACAAATGTAAAATATTATTTTTCTAGTTTGAATGTTAAAATGTTAAAAATTAATTTAAAATTATTAAGCTTATATTATATAATTTAAGTTATATTTTGACTCGGATAATTGTTGATTATTAATAAATTAATAGAAATATAGAAATACTATATATTGTTTTCCAAAATTTCTAAATTCAACTTTTAATCCAGATAATTAAATTAAAATATACTAATAAATTATAATAAGTTAATGAATGCAAATACAATACACTCAGTGACAAAAGATTAGGTTTATGCGGTTTTTAAAAAATATAATTGTAAATATTTTTAATTTAATTTACAAATCCTACTGATACGATGGGACACCCGATATATACAATAATATAAAGGGTTTCATACATGTGCTGTATAACAAATTGAAATAAAATATTTTAGTAATTATCAAATCACATGAATAGCATCTAATTTTATTAATAAAACACATAAAAACTTGTGAATTCATTAATTTTATTTGGAAAATTAATTGCTATTGTTTTGTTCACAAAAATGCACTAAATTATAAAAGCTGAAAATTTTTATAAGCACTTCATAAACATATCTGATGTAGGAAAGCAAAAGCAGGACTATGGATTGCTACTTGTATTTAACTTTATTAACATTTACTGTATAATTTAATAGGAAGCAATGAAAAAAATTTAAAATTCATATGCAATCCATAATCCTGAATTTGCTTTCCTACATCACATATGAAAATATTTTTACTCAGGTATTAAACAAATATTTTAAAAATCCTTTTTAAATAGGATATCCAATTACGGTACACTGCACTTACCAATAAATAATAAAGTTTTTATTTTGCATTACCTGTCTTTAAAATGATGTTTATTTCAAGAATATTATATTATATTATAATACAGTATATGGAAGTCATATCAAGTTACATTTAGAGTCAAGTGTAACAGCAGTCACAAATATGGGTGCCTATTTAGCACCTATTATATTTATTAAGAATAATAATTGTGGTATTCATAGGGGACAACTACTTGAAATATTGTATTTATCCAATAGTTTATTTTTATTTAATTAATCAATTTTTTTAATATGAATGTTTAATAGAATATTGAAATTATTTTATAATACCGTATTAACTATTATTTTCAAATACGTATAAAAATTATGATTTTGTAAAATTGATTTTAAGATTTAATAGTTATTTATACAATTTAATAATGTAGTATTTATAGATTTTATCCATTACTACCTGTGCCCACACGTTTAATACACATCTAATAGATTTTCAATAACAAGTGACAAAATGTACAAATAGTATTATACAATAATGTCATTTAATAGTAAAAACTTTTTTAGTTTCATGATTATATAACATATAAATGTAGATACTGAACAATGCCGCTACAATGAAAACATTTATTTGCATTAAAACTATTCACATATTTTTATGTAATGTATAAAAATTTGAATAAAAAGTGTTATAATTTATGATCAATTGGCACACATTATAAATTATAAAAGATTTTTGCCGATAAAAATGAATTATTAATAAAACACACCATTTTAACTCAATTTAGCCCAGCATCAATTATTCATTGAATGTAACATATATTACGGAATTTGAAATATATTTGTCTATTTTTAAAATATTAAAAATCTAAGTTTTAGTACAGTATATAGTGAAGATTAGCACATATAATTTAAAATCAATGTTGTTTTTTCATCCAGTGCATTTTCTGTACACACTTGAGGTTTGAGAAAACTTGAAAAACATTTCTATAAATTGCAATATTATTACCAAAAGCACTAATTCTCTATAGAATTCATTAAAGAATTCATTAAAGAATTCATAATAAAAGTTCTTATGTTATATATTTCAAAACATTAATTAGTTCATTACACGATACGATACAATATGATTTAAAATGCCCTCAAATATTAGTATGTACTCACATTAATATCTTTATTAATTAACATTCGACTTGAATTCTTAACTTTTATAATAACCCTGATGACATTTAAACTCAGTTATCGGTTGATTCCCTATTTTTGTGTACAATAAGTTCATAAAACCAGGGGTGAACTGTAAAGTCCGTGATATATATAGGGCTAAAATAGATATTAAATGTTATTTCATAATTTGAATTTTAAATTCACAAAAATCTTACGTTTTTTGCAACGAAATACCCGCCCCTCAAGAGATCACGTCCTGAGTATATAAGCAAACGGTTGAACTAAACCGACTATAGTTATAGTGGTGTTACAGTTGGCCATCACTAGTGGCGTCCAACTCAGAGATTATCACAAATATTATGTATTTTATAATTTTGATCACTTGTTGTCTCATTACAATCAGTGCGTCGCTTGAGGGCAAAGTATTGCCGCCCAAAGCCGTGTGTCTCGACTTACGGGATGGGGTCAGAAAAAATGGAGGTCTGTATTCATTGTGAATTTATGAAAGTATTTTCAAAATTTTAAATACAGTAATTTACTAGCTTTGTAAATTAAGTAATTTATTAGATAATTATCATGCAAAATATAAAATAATATATCTAATAAAATAAAATTAATACTTACAATACACAAATTGTTAATATTATTAAAAATTTCTAAATACATAATAAATAAAAAAGTCTTACACTAATCTTTATTGCTTTATCACTAACCCTGGCCCTAAAGGTATTGAGACATTTGCTGTGGTCAATGGTGTGGTACTGGAGTCAGCGCTACAACTCTATAAGGACTGTGTTCTCTATGACGAGGGTTTCCGTTATAAGCGATTATTGAGAGCATTAATGGACTGATTTGATGCTACCTTTCCTCTATAAAAGCATTTTAACATTTATTTTATAATAAATCTATCTAGTATTAAATATAAAAATGAGAAATGTATATTCAGAATATGAAATTAAACATGGGAAAACTTTAAACTATTTACAATTTGTTAATTAAATATTTTTCAAAATTAACAATAAAAATATAATAAATAAGTACAAATATTGTTGGTATGTTGTATTGTGGATATGATAATTATATTGATGGCTTGTATTAATCTTACTAGATAAGTTAATCATTTGCCACCGTCAGTCATGTTTCAATTATACAAAAGGTTGTGTATGATAATAGTGATTTAAATTGCAGTTACATACTTACTTTAGTTATAGTATTATATCCTATTATTATATAAAAACAGATTTGTAGAGAGAGAGAGAGAGAGAGAGAGAGAGAGGATTAGAAGTTATATCTAAAATAACAATGACTTTAGATAACATTATAAATAACTTACAAATAATTAGTAAAGTTATTGTGAAAATATAGGAATTTGTCAATTAATCATAAACAATTATACAATAGAAAGTACACTTATAGTTACTACTTGTATATTTAGTAAGAAAGTACTTATAGTTAAAAATGATTCTTTTATAGCAAACAAAAATCTTTAATTATTGATTAATAATAATTTTTTAATTTTTTATATTAAAAATATAAACAGAATCGCAATGAATAGAGTGTTTAAAATCATAGCCTACTGTCGGGTCGAGCCCTTACTGATGTGCCTATTAATGGCACTCAACATAAGGGGTGTGACATTCATGCAATTGATCCAGGACAAAATATGTAAAGTGCATTACAATAAAAGTGATGATTTTTGTCGGCATTTATCTGAATTGAGTGACAATGATGAGGGCGCCGACATCAAGTCGGCCGTACTGGTGGCCAGTTCCGAGTTTCAGATGTACTACCAGGCGCTGGCATACTTACCCAGTATGTTATTGTGCGTGTTTCTGGGTTCCTGGTGCGACAACTACCCGCCCGGTCGTATTATTTTGCTGTACATATCGGCGGTGGGTATGTGCGTCGAAACGGTACTCCAAGCATATATGGCCTACGATTTTGATTTAGGTATGTATTTATACGGCTAATAGTTTTTATAATTAATAAATCTCTTATTAAAAGTCCATTAAATGTTTTGAAAAGTATTTGCAATCATAAAACATATTTATTAATAACTCAAGAAATATATTTTTCTCAAAATCAACAGATTTTTCTTTATTACTTTAAGTTTTAAAAGATATTTTCTATTATAAAAACATGTTATAAATCAAAAACATGTTATTTTGCAAATTATTTTATCACAAATGTAAACCTTACTTTAAAATTATTTATGAAATTTATTTCTATTTTTATAAAAATATTTATTAATTATTTTTATAAACAGATTATAGATTCCTGATATTAGCAGCTATTCCGCCAGCACTGGGCGGTGGACTGGGAACTGGATTCGCCGCCATATTTAGCTACATCCCGGCCACGACACCCACGAGTATACGTACCATACGTTATATGCTGGTAGAGGTGGCCTGTTGGCTGTCTAACCCATTGGCCACATTGTTGGGCGGGTTCCTACTTAACTACAACATAACTGTCCCCATCGGAGGGAACGGACAGCTATTGAACTATCAAATGGTGTTTATAGTGAGTCTCGTGTCCAGCGTTTTGGCCATTATTTGGACTCTTTTTATGGTAAACGAAAAGAAAGAAAAAGAAGTTTTAATGGCATTTGAAACGCATTCAGTTAATAATGATACGAAAGCACCGGTAGATACGATTGTGTCCACTATTGATAAGAGAAAGTCGTTGGCATCCCTGTCCACTGTCGAGCTTAAGAGACAAAATAAAAATGGTCTTCAATTGCTGTTTGATTTCGGTATGAAATATAAGACTTTTATTACTGTATATTATATTTAAATTTTATTTAACTTTTTAATAAGTTTTTTAAAATTAATTCAATGACTGGGCAGACAATGTGAGGGACATTATAAGGACGGGTACCCGGACTCGAGAACATGGACGTCGACGCCAGTTATGGCTAATCGTCAGTTCCCTAGTTATAGTACTGATGGCCCACTTGGCACCGGTATATGTCATGTATCCGTTCACCCAAAAAGTCTATAACTGGAACTCAGAGACATTTAGTTACACTAATTCTTTGGCACA